TACAGTTAATCATGATATTATATCACAGTTAGTTGTGGTATCTCATAGAACAATATTAATTATTATTGTATCTCATGTAATTATAAATTAAAACTTCACAAAGTGCATTGTGAAAAAAAGGTGAATTCTAGGTTGTTTTGTTTCGAATTTCGCGCAAAGCTACACGAGGGCTATCTGCGCTATTCGTCTCTAATTTAACAGTGAAAGACTAGAGGGAAGGCAGATACTCATCACCACCTACCACCAACTCTTGGGCTATTTTTTTACCATCGAATAGTAGGATTGACCGTGACAATGTGACGCCCCCACGGCTGCAAGGGCGAACATGTTTGGTGGGACGGGGATTCGAAGGAGACCCTCATATTGCACTAACCACCTACCTGGCCATTGAATTCTGGTGTCTGTCAGGAGAACGTATTGACAGCAAATATGCGAGAAAATACAGCAGCTTTTCTACGAAATATGAAGAATGATACCGGTGTTCATGCTGTTCCCTTTTCCGACATACCTGTATAGTCAACTATTGATTTTGGTCTTGAAAGCCAGAGTATCCACTTTTAGGGGAAGAGTTTGTGGTTTGTTTCTCAAGATGTGTGGTCTTAAGATTGACCTAACCGTCCTTCAAAGTAACTTGTTACATGGAAATTGCAGTGACTAGCAATAACGGTAGTCATGGCCACCAAAATGGTCGTGATCAACCACGGAAAAATGGCAATAACTGTAGTCATGGCCACCAAAATGATCGTGATCAACCACGGAAAAAATGGCAATAACGGTAGTCACGGCCACCAAAATGATCGTGATCTACCACGGAAAAATGGCAATAACGGTAGTCATGGCCACCAAAATGGTCGTGATCAACCACGGAAAAATGGCAATAACGGTAGTCACGGCCACCAAAATGATCGTGATCAACCACGGAAAAATGGGAATAACGGTAGTCATGGCCACCAAAATGATCGTGATCTACCATGGAAAAATGGGAATAACGGTAGTCATGGCCACCAAAATGGTTGTGATCAACCACGGAAAAATGGCAATAACGGTAGTCATAGCCACCAAAAAAAGGTCGTGAGCAACCACGGAAAAATGGCAATAACGGTAGTCATGGCCACCAAAATGATCGTGATCAACCATGGAAAAAATGCTATCAGGAAAAATAAGGAAATAATAAGGAAAACGTTTTTTTGTTTGGTTTGTTTTGAATTTCGCGCAAAGCTACACCAGGACTGTCTACGCCAGTCGTCCCTAAGTTAGCAGTGAAAGACTAAAGGGAAGGCAGCTAATCATCATCACCCACCGCCAACTCACGGGCTACTCTTTTTATCAACGAAGATAAAGAAAACACGTACGTGAAAATTTATTACAAGGAAAACATATATATGAGGATTTATAACAAGAACAAAACATACATTAGGATTTCTATTAGATGAAACGTATACCGAGGGTTTCTAGCAAGAAAATCGTACATACTATTTAAATGTGGTTCACATTGGGCTATCTGTGCTATAAGCCCTCAGATTTACCACTCACACCACTGGGGAGGATATATATATTTAAACTATCAAGGGGATTAAAGACACTTTTGGGCACAAATTTTAAAGATAATGAATTGTAAATTGCAAAAAATTTATTACATAGTTTTAACAGTTTACTGAATTGTTCAACCATATAACTTAAATAGTGAACAAATGACCTATAAATAAATAAATACATGCAAATGTTCTTCAAACATGGGATTCTCCCAATTAATAAAAATATGTCTGAATATCTTACCAGGAATGTGAGAAAATTAAAATTTGTAAATAATAATCGGGACAGAAAACATCTTAAAATAAAATATTACAAAATAATGATAATATTCACAAATTTAACGT